TTATTCAATGTCGCATTCAATTGTTCAATATATTCTCGTTCTTTCCTTAGCGCGTCCAAACGATTTTCACACCTTTCAGTTTGTATTAGTATCATGTCAAAATTTTCAAAACCTCCACTGTTTCTTATAAATTGATAAACATAAGAATTAGAGTGTTCTCTGTCATTCTCATTACAACAAGTTCTTTTGTGTGCTGACTTTCTGTTTTTAAAATTTAATGTGTGTCCAACATAACAGTCCTTGATATTTAAGTCCTTGCAAACTATTTTATAAAAATAGGTCTTATCGTAGTTTAGTTCCTTACGTGGCATCGTCAGGTATTATAGAGTATTATAAAGTATTCTTTAAATATTCATCGGTAATCGTAAATCGGTGTTCAAAATTAATGTAGAACATGTGGTTAATGTCTTTAGAATTTAGATTTACATAAAAGAAAGAATACGAAGAATTATTTATTGCCGTGTGATACATGTCTAACAGTTTGTCTTTATCCACTATCGCTGCGTTTTCTTCAATGAAACTCATTAGTTCTGTAATGTTTTTGAGTCTGAAAATGTATAGTGAAGAAGCATTAACACGAATTATATTTGCGATTGATTTATATTTTTGTAAAGAACAAATAACATTGATTGCATCGTGCCTACCTCTTGTAAATAAACCGTGTAATATTTTAGAATATCTTAAAAACTTGGGGTCGTCGCTGAAATCATCTATAACGATTAATATTGAGTGCAGTTTCTTTATCTTTTTAGATTTCATATAGTTAATAATTTTCTTCTGTCTTTCGATTACATTTTCTAAATCACTTGGATTATAATTATCAAAATAAATTTGTTCTTTTTCATCATCTACATGTAGTTCATCCCTAATATATTTCTTTACTTCTGTAAAAGTTGGGTCATTATGAACGCTGGGGGAAAATATAAATATTCTTGCAAATGAATTTCTATAAACATTTAAGATAAGGTTCTGAACCAAGACCGTTTTGCCGCCTGTCGAACTCGCAACTATAATACTTCTAAATGGTAGTTTTGGCACATGCTCATATTTAGATTGTTTGAATTCATAATCAGTTATGTTTATTGGTTTTATTATTGGGACATCTGTCATAGTTGATATTAAAGAAATATAGAAAATTATATTTAAAAATTGACTTGTAATTAATATTAAATGGAACATCATTTTTTATGATATGCTGGTGGCGAATATCATAAAATGGAACAGGTTTTCCATTGCTTCAATCAATAAGCATTGAAGATAATTAGTTTGAAGAATTGCAATGAAAACTCCAAGTGCTGCGCCCCATCAATATTCTATTATGCATGAAATAATAAGATTAATTAGAATAATTTATCTTATTATTTAATATGCAAAGGAGTTATACAGATTATATTGATATAATAGATGAAGTAGAAAATATAGAACAAGTAATAATAACTGACAATAAATGTAAGAAAGTATGCTATTTTGTTTTAGAAATAATTAAGTTAGGAATTCAATATATCAAAAATAAAAATGTAAATATTAATATAAATGCCTCCAAAGAAGAAGCAAGAGAACCAAAAAGAGATTGAATGTGTCAAATGCGAAAAATGCGGTCAAACAATTAAACCATTAAATGAATTAGAATTAGATAAAGAACATGTTAAAGTTAAATGTTGGCCGTGTTCATGTGGTAGAACCATGCATACAGTACATACAGTAAAAAAGAAAGATGCTGACGGGAGCACAGTTGAAGAAAGTTGGGTAGAAAACTTCAAAAGTGGATTTGGTAGGTTATTTACACCTGAGAAAGAATGATGAAATATTAGTATTTAAAGAGTAGATTTAACACTAATTCAAACGCATAAATAAATCAATAAATAAATAATTATATAAATATTTATATATAGAAATGTCAGAAAATGGTGATTCTACAATTAACGATTTAATGAAAAAGATTATAATTATTAGTAAGAATATTAAAACATTAACTGAACTTATTAAGAATATCGATGAAAAAATAAACCAACCTAAAAGCAATAACGAAGACGATAAAGAGAAGATGAATAAAATCTTTGAAAAGAAACAAATAGGACGTCCTGCAGGTTCGTTTGAAGATAAGCAGAAACAATATATGGATATGTTAAATAAGAACAAAATTAAGAGTCCGAAGCAAGAAACTATTGAATTTTACAAACTGTTTAAGAACGAAGAGGGTAAATATGAAACAATATAATAAATATCTAAATCATTCTAATAATATGAATTTATTAGAATTATTTTCAGGCAGTCAAAATACAAAATACCTGCTGAATTGATTTGTGAAATCTTGGTGAGTTTGACGGATTAAGGAAAACGAGTTTGGGGTTGGTGTTGAAACTTGAAATTTTCTTACCTTACCTGTAACAAATATTAACTTGACCGGTAAAACATCTTTACCCAACCGGTAAAAAATCCTTACCTGACTGGTAAAAAATCCTTACCTGACTGGTAAAAAATCCTTACCTGACTGGTAAAAAAACCTTACCTGACTGGTAAAACATATTTACCTGCTTTGAAATGTTGAAATTATAGTTTTAGACTAATAAGATAAAATTATTAGATGTATTCAATATATTTGTAATTGTTCTTTGTGTTGTTTGTTGTTTGGTTTTTTGTTTGGTTTGTTGTTTGGTGGGTTTTTTCTACGAGGGTCTTACCCCAGACCTTGATATTTATTATGTCTAAAACTATTTAAAGGGTAGAATGCTTTTTATAGTAGAAGATTATGGAAAGGAAATATTGCTCGTGTTGTGGATGTCATAAGGATGGAAATGTATTTACCGATAGTTGTAAAACTTGTGATAGATGCCGTGAAAGGCAGAAAAAGAAAGACCAAAGAAAGAGACTGAAACAAAACGCAGTCAAGCAACAGAAAGAAATAGAAGAAGGAGAAAAACAATATTGTTCACATTGTAAAGTTCATAGAAAGATTGAATTATTTTCAGAAAATCATAAAACTTGTGATTTGTGTAGAGAAAAAACGAAAATCTACTCGCAAACATGGAGAGATAATCATAAAGAGGAGATAAGCGAAATAAATAAAGAATATGGCATGAAAATATTTGTGTGTTCTGTTTGTGATTGCGAAGTCAGATTGAAACATAAAGTGAGGCATGAAAAAACAAAGAAGCATATCGAGAATTTAAAAAAGAATGAGGTTGAGGATAGTTGAAATGGTTTAAGTTATTCTAGAAAAATGAATAACTTGAAACATTTTATGAATTATTATATGGGATTTGGTGAGTGGATTGATATTTGGAAACATGTTTAAGCTTTTTATGTGGATTTGGGCGGTGCGTTGATAAATGCTGTTGGGCGGGTTTGCAAAAGAGGGTAGAAAGCTTGCGGGTATGCTACCGCTTGCTCCTTGAGGGGTCAGGGTTCTGCATTGGAGGGTCCAGGGGTGTGCATCGGAGGTAACTTGGCGAATTGAACAGCGAAGGGCCATACCATGCCATACCTCCCTCCACCTGCAGCCAAACCCCAAGCTGATGGGATGGGATTGAATTGGGGCAGCGACAAGGGCGGATCTCCGTACCATTTGGTCACAAACCTTCAGCTGCCCGGACGTTTCTTTTTTGCAGCTTACTTTGATAGATTGCTGGTTGCCCAGAAAACTCGAATTCAACCTACTTAGGGTCATTGGACACGTCGATCTGTTGCGCTGGCAAAGTATGGTTTTGTCTCGGCCAGCAATGGCTACAGGATAAAATTCAAGACGCCCTGCTCAATGCTGCTCAAAAGGTATGAAAAGGACTTCTCCCAAGAAAGCTTGGCTCATTCTCCCGCCAGTCGCTCGACTCATGAGGCGCACCGCACCTCAAACCCCGAAAAAACGCTCCTCGGCCCCACCTGAAGCTTCAAACTACAATGAGAAAGCGAACTGGGAACCACCCAAACAGATCAGGTCTGGTTGCCTTATCTTGGTTGCTGTTGACCCCGCAACAGAAAGTTTAACTTTTTGGGGGGTTTAGTGGAAAGCCCCTTGATGTCCCAAAAAGATAAAGTCTAAAGATCCAACCCCATAGCAGTCAAGCTATATGTGGCATGGTCATTGGGGGCCATCGACTTGCCGGATACTCTGCAAAGGACCTTAGAACCACGGCGTACCCGCCGGATCACCCAGGGTATACCCCCACACCCCACAGAATGGTTACAACCCGATTGAGGTACCTGGACCCTCACAAGGGGACTCTTGTTGCCCATGACTTAGGGCCAAGAACCCAATTTATGGATATTTTGAGGGAGGTATCCCGTAAAACCCCCATACGCTGCAATGGAAGCACCCGTTTCGCGCCCCCCACAGCATGCTTGCTCACCCAATCTCACTTCCGATCGGGTGGACTGGCCAAAAACAGCTCCCAAACTTTCTGTTTACCAAAAATGTAGGGGTTGATTCCTTGTCCATTCTTTTCAAAAAAGCCTTGTTTCTGGGTTTCCAGAGGTTTTCTAGAATGAAGGATCCCTGGAAAGAATGGAAATGGAAGGTACCTCTCGAAAAAAAACATGGGTCGTCCGCCAAAGTGCCCAAAGTCCGAAGCGAAACTCCGGGAGCGAGCAATTGAAGTATAACTCTCAAACTAGCCTCAACAAATTGGTCATAGCCACCCAACATCAGGAATGTCTCAATAATCCTCATACAAGCTCTCCACACATCAATTAAATGCAGTCCATTTCCATTTTTCTGGGCTAATTCGTCTTAAAACCCCATTAAACTATGGAGCAATGTCCCTCTTCGTGGCTGCTTCGAGGCTATCGCTCGCCCTTCACCTCCTCACAGCTCCCAAGCTTCTTATTTACTACAAACAAAGAGGTCTTCCGCAAACGTGACCTTCTGACCCTTTGCAAAAGGGGTCAGACTCCCCAAAATTAGGGTCATGCCGCCATTTTCCAGGGGTCATGACCGGAGACTCCAGGTAGAGTCTGAAATGGACCTCCGGCGCCGGCTTCCGATTTTTTGGGGGGCTCCGAGGGGCCCCGAGGGTCATCTCCAAGATCTGGAAGACCTGGGCGGCGGTGGGCCAGAGCTGGTCCGCGGAGTTCTCCACGCCGAAGTACTGCAGCTGGAAACCTCCGCGTCCCGCGAGCCCCGCGCGTTGAGTGGCAAGTCTGGGGATTTACGTCCTGATTCATCTGAGGCGAATCCAAATGGGGTTGTGTTTAAGGCCCCCTTATCAGGTCCCCCTTACCAGTTCTTTCCGCAAGGTCCTCCAGTAGAGAGATTGGACGAAGGGTACCCACTTTTTTCGGCAGTCTATTTTAGGGGAACCCAAAACCCCAAAAAAGGGTAAAAGGGCGCTACGGGGACCTAGTTTAGGGCCAGGCTTGGGAGAAGTCCTGATTCTTTGGCAAATCCTCATGGCTTGGTTGAACTCCTGATTCATTTGGAGCAAATCCTCAACACCGGGTCCCGTCATGACTCATGACCCTTAGGGCACCGGGAGGGCGGCACCCTTGGCCCATACTGAAGGCTTGCTCACCCAAAGATTCACAGGGAACCGCTGCACAACTGTGACTTGTTGAAGCCGCAAACTGGATTCTCCGAACTGGTGACCCTGAGGGGAGACCCATTTGGGGGGTTCCATATCCCATTTGCAGCTATTGGGGAAATGATGCAACAAGAATCATATAATTTTCCATGAGAATCATTTGCAATAGTACTTGGGGATCGGGAAACTATTCTATTGCACATGTTGCAAAATGCGGTTCAACAACGTGACCAAGCGTTTAGTCTTGGCTACGAATGGGGGGCTACCTGGGAGGCGTGGGGGGGGGGCTATCCCTGGCTCAGCCCAGGATAAGCGGATGAGCTTTTAAGGGCCTATTAACAGGGATCCTTACATCATACACCTCAACATTGCCTTGTAAATGGTGGTGTCCCTTTATTTTGGTGGAGAAAAACTCATGTTTCACATGGTTCCAAAATGGAGATCTTTTAAGGAGCCCAAAATCTAGCTGTTGCTCTTCAACTTTTGTTTCCCACTGGTCTTCCCATGAAGTCAAGGACCTCAGGGACTGAGCTTTGGCTCCCAAAGTTTAGGACTCAGGTCCCCTTGAGAGCCATCTTGAAGGGTTGCTCTACAGAAACGGAAAAACAATTATTGAACCCCAAAGAAACAGAAACAGAAATTGAACCAAAGAAATTGGTCAGCTCCAAAGCAGTCCCCGATCTAATATGAATAGCTGGGCCTCGTGGGGGCGCTTATCCGTCGGGGAGTCATACTGTAGATGGTTGGGTCACCCATGTCGACTTCCAGAAACCCCGGCTTCTGATTCGATTCAACGCAAATTAAATGGCTGTGGGTCAAAAATAGGTACCCAAAATGGATCCCTGCAAATTGGAAACATGGACTCAAACCTGCACTCCCCTGTTGGTTTAATTTTGACCCATACCCAAATACCAACGAAGAGCTCTCCCCTTGCTTCGTTGCGTGGTGTGGACTGATTCCGTCCGTCCACAGTGCTGGTGACTCAGGTTCGCCCTTCCCAGCCGATTCTCAGCTCAAGCGCTGCGTTTTTCGGGCACGGACCCTCGCCTACGTCCAGGCCGCGGTACTGCACTTGCATCGCCATGACCTGAGTCACTTGCTCAAAACCCGGTATTAAAATCTTTGACCCAGAACCAAGCAAGAAAAAAACGTTCAGGCGGCCGCAGCTGTTTCTGGCTGGGAGTGTCCCTTACTAACCTTCATCTACCCAGGTTTTGATTGTGGCTCACCTGACCGATGCGTGGATGCCTTTTTTAGACCTTCAAGCTACCCCACAAAAAAGAGGGAATTCACCAACCAATATTTTGGGCGGTCCTCAGATCCTCCGCTAAAAGTTTAACTTTTAGTGGGCGAAATGGACATCCAACCACTAAACAAACTAAGAAGCTAAAAAGCTACTGGCATGGCTGGGAGCCACCAAGTAACCCATAGTGTCATGTTGGAATTTGGAGGGTTCAGGAGGTTATTTTAACTATAAAGTGGATGCTTGGCGCAAACCAACTTCCAATCGCCCAAAAGCAACCCACCTGCTTGGTTGCCACCAAAATGGTCCAGACCCACAACGTCCAGGAGCAGAAGATACCCATAACGTCGCTAGTCACTACTTGCAGCCTCTGGTCGAAACAAGTCAGGTATCCAGGTGCGAAGGCCCCGGATGAAAGGAGCCAAGAGGGCATCGCTGTCAACCCGTCGCTACACGAAGATTCGGACCTGGCACTCGATGAAGCTCTTTGGACGCTCACACTGACCAGAAGGTGTGTAGCAACACCGGCTCATTCACTGCGCTTTCCTATATATTGCATTCTGCTCAAGTCCCTTAGTCCCAGCTAATGCCAAAAGGGGGGAAGCCACCGGCCATAATCTCGAGCGGCAATAACCCCATGGTTAAGTTGCAATTTTGAGGGTTTTGCCCCGCTGCGTTTTTTCAGAGTAATGATGGGGTGGGATGTCAGATTGGTATTTGCCCAAGAAAACAGGGCTTTCCCAAAAATAGTTAAGAAACAAAGGGGGGGGATTTAGAGTAGGGGGGTTCAGTGTCATTTTGTGCCATAAATGTTGGCACGTGTAAAACGGGCGGGGCGGCCGATTTTTGTGTAGCCACTGTATCCTCTAATAGGTTCCCTGAAGCCAGGTGGCTTAAAGCATCCTTTTCTGGAAGGATTGAATGTCAAGAACTGGGCTCTCTTTTTGTTGATCCCCGATCGCTCAAAGTGACTAACTTTTAGTAGGCGAAATGGACACCCAACCACCAAACCAAGCACTAGAGCACCTTCACCCACAAAATTCTGAAAAGCCGGCTGCCAGATAAACAGAGTGCAGTTTATGAGAGTTGCACATCAAAAGGTCGGCAGTCACCACGTTTTGAGTCTCAAAACAAACAGGGGTCACAGGATCTTTACGCCCCAGAGGCCTCGACAACTCCATGGGACACCCCGCAAGCTTTCAGCCGGTGTTTGGGGTCTCAAAACCTGGTTCCTGTTAAATTGGGCCCTAAATCAATCGAATTGATTGAAATTTGGTCCCCCCATTCTCGATTGGTTTTGGGCCTTCAAAATGGTACGGAGCTGGCCATTTGCCAAGGTCCGAACAGCAGAGAGGTTAGAATAAGGGTATAACTGTATAACCTTTTTCTGTAGTCTCTTTTAGTAGGGGAACGACAAGGGCACCTAGCTGGGGGACCTAGCCACAGACCTTTCCCCCGCCGGCGCCAAGTTGCGACACTGCTGAGCACGATCAGCACGGCCTGGGCCAGACTGTTCCTTTGGGTTGTCTCAGCTGTTTTTGGCGAGTGCTGGCCAAACCCAGTCCACAATGCCCCTACACCCAAGACCCACCTTGTTTAAAGGGTATGATGTCAACCCTTTACTGCCAAAGGCTGGAAACCCCGTTTTGACAAAAAGGAAACCGAAAAAAAAAAGGCGGGTATTTGGAGAAGGGTATCGAACCACAAGGGGAAGCAATTTGAAGTTCACCCAAAGAAAGGATCTTGATTGCCTTTTAAACAGATCCACCTGGAGTCTCCATGCCCTTTCAAAATGGGTCAGTGACCCCATTATTTTGGATCATGACCCCATCTTTCAAGGGTCAGAAGGAGACTCCAGGCAGATACTGAGTCGAAAGGACGACCAGAAATCCAAGGTGGTCACTCTGCCACGCCACATGGGAGCGCATCCGGTCGATGCGCTGCCAAAGGGCAGCGAATCGAAGTGAAGATCGATCCAGTTTCTATACCCAAGCAGGTTGATTCCCATATACTGATGGTTGCGACATCCACTTCGCACCACGTTTCTGAAACCCTGGTCTCTGTTTCAATTCCCCACGTAAATATATAAACCATGGTTTCATTTCGTTTTGCGAGTTTGGATTTCGCAACCATCCACAGCATGACTTAAAACGGGGATCTTGGTATCGGAAAAATTGGACCTACACCATTAGACGAAAGTGACCACTTTGGGCACAGACATAAAGCCGTTGACCAACCGCCAACCCACAAATAAGCCAAGAGACAACAAAAACAAAACACACGTTGTACAACATTTTCCGCAACCAGGCCTGACCAAAACCCAGACCTAGTTTGTTTCGTGTTGCAAACACCTCCACCATCCTCAAACATCCTCATCCGCTCATATCGTGGATGAACATAATCCAGTATAGGGCCTCATTCAAATCAACTGGTGCAGGGTTTTGGCCATCCACAGAAAAACCCCTAGGTCCTCCAGTAGAGAGGATAGAATAAGAGTACCAACTTTTTTCCGTAGTCTATTTTAGTAGGGGAACCCTCCCCAAAAAAGGGTAAAAGGACACTACTGAGGGACCTAGACAGAATAACCCCAAGAACTCTTGGAAACAATAATTCCTGGCCCCAAAGTGACCGTGGCAGACTTTTGCAATTTCCCGCAAAGCATCGTTCACAACACGTGCTCTCAAGAAGGCCTTCGGGGTCAAAACCTTCAATGCTTCAATGGAGGCTCCAATGATGCTAGGGGTGGGGAACTTGGTAAGTGATTAGTAAGCCTGGAAACCAACATGGTTATAAGATGTGAGTCTCCTAAGTGGGTTATAACATTGTAGCCAGGAATACTCGCCACTTCCTAAGTGCCCCTTTAAGTAGGGTTGGGGAATTCATCTTGTGGGTCCCCGATGGCGCATGCAAGAATTTGTTCAGATGCCATTGTCAGCTTACTCCCCCGCAAAAATCCACATGGAAGGAACCCTAAAGGAACCTCCTCTTCGCAAGAGGCGAGAGACTCCACGGGTGTTTTTGTGGTGCGCGGAGGAAGCTTCCATTAGAGATACTGCAATTTTAGGGCCTCGGAAGGTTCCGTTCCTAAGGCACACTCTGCTTGTTTCGAAGACCTGGAGCACCCATTGTAACAAACATTTGCGTTGCCCAGAGGCTCCGATCGGCTTCGGCTTTCAATGGAAGACCCCTCGACCCCGAAGAATTGGACACCCCGCCGGTGTTTGGTCTCAAAACCTGGCTGTTTGAGGGCCCAAAATCAATCGCGCGCCTCTGGGTACGTAAAACTTGTGTTCGAGCCATGCTTTTCTGCTCAATGCCACGAAAAAAGCGCGCGGTCCTTGAACAACAGCGCCTTGTGTTTTTCAAGCTGTTCGGAGGAAGGCGAGCAATTGCTACGGCTTTAAAGTGTGCGCTTCATGTGCGGATATTTACGCTCGCTTTGCGGACATGTGCGCTCGTTTTGCACTTCGATTTCTGCATGCTCATCTTGGAGGACCGATCATCTTGGAGGCCGATCAGCTTGGCTTTGGGGAAAAAGGAACCCTCCAAACAGGACAAAGTGTACGTTTACCATATGCCTATGGGTCAAAAATAGGTACCAAAACTCCAAACTCAATCCTTGTAAATGGAAACATGAACTAAAATCCGCGGTCCCCTGGAGCCATAGTTCGGTGACGGCCCTTGGTTTTGCACCGCATTTGGGCTCAGGGTCGAAATTTCGGTAACGACGGACCCTCCAGGGATTTGGAGGTCGTCTGTAGCTCCCAGAATACCAAGGGCAGCCTTCCATGATCCGACGGAGAGGGTGGGGTATTTACATGGCTACCGGGCCTTATCATGGCTTGATGTTTTTAGTGGCAAAGCATGTGGCTGAGGTAAGTCAACTACCAGGATCTTGTGCAGTATATGTGTATTTGTTTAATCAGCGGCGTCCCATGGTTTGTCTCGAAACTCGTCTGGAAGGGGGTTGCAAACGCAAACGCACACACACTCACACAGTCAAAGATAGGTTAAGAACGAAACAAAGCAAACACACAAACACAAACAACATCAAGCAATCCACACTAACACACACACAAACCGCACAAACAAACAAGCAAAGGCATATGCAAGCAAGCAAGCAAGCAAGCAAGCAAGCAAGCAAGCAAGCAAGCAAGCAAGCAAGCAAGCAAGCAAGCAAGCAAGCAAGCAAGCAAGCAAGCAAAAGCAAGCAAGCAAGCAAGCAAGCAAGCAAGCAAGCAAACAAGCAAACAAACAAACAAACAAACAAACAAACAAACAAAAAGGAACAGCAAACAAACAAAAACGGAGACCATAAAGAAAAAATACAAAGCAAAGCAACAAGACAACTAAAAATACACACAGCAAAACAACGAACAACACAACGCAATCAACCTGCACACCACGAAACAGCGCCCGAGCAAAGCAAACAAGAACGGCTTCCCGCGCTTCTTTTTGTTTGTTCGCCGAGAGGCAAAGGTCAAATCAAAGTGGGGGGAGTTGACCACCTTCCGGAAGAACGCCGACCAGCTGAGGGCTTTGCCTCCGGATCTGCGACTTGGAACATCCCCGCCGACACGCACTGATTGGGGGCTGGATGAAAAACCCGACGGCATCCATTTTGCACCATATGGTTTTAAACAATCAAGCAAATATGGCTTCAACCATGGTTTCAAGGTAGTATGGGATTTTGTCAATCTGCAGTGTGCATGGGATAAACTGATATAAACCACTTAGTTGGATCTTGGTGCTTGGCCAACGAATTCTGGGTGAGAAAACCCACTAAGGATTCGGTTAACGCCACTTCAGTAGGCTGAAGTAAGTGAGTTATAACCGGGCTGTTACCGCCAAAACTTTCCCAACTCTGGGTCTTTGAGAGGGCCATGCCCCTCCGGAAACAAAGAATCGGCACTCTTTGTTTGGCGTAGATGTTAAAGAGAATCCCCAATGGTTGAATTACATTTGATGTCGCTCCAACAACTTGCTCAAAAAACCGGTACCCAAAATGGAACCCTGGTAAGTGGAAACATGGACCAACACCTGGGTTACCCCACCTGTTTAATTTTGAGCCACACCCACTTGGATGTTCGGCCCAATGTAGTACGTTGCTAGCCTGGCTCATGATCCACTTTTTGACAGAGTTAGCTGAAAGGGGGGGGGGGGGTCGTATACTCGGGGTTAACTATTAGTGCAGTTACCTATAGTCGGAACTGGAATCACTGGGTACATCTCAGTATGATGGATCTCATAAGTATAAATCCAATGATAATCTGGGCCGTTCTTAAGCCAGCGTTGCTCAATCCCAATCCATAATCCCTCTTGAAACATGTCTCTGCAAAGGGAACCAACTTCGATCTCCAGAGGAAAGGATCTTGCGGATTTTTCTTTGACTTTGAACAGCCCAGATATGAGATTGCTTCCCACGAAATTCTGGATAAAGAAAACCAACTATTTCTAGTAATAGATCCCCCCAAAAAAAACAAAAAAAACAAAAACAGCACGGGGACATACTCAATATATTTCAGGTCACCCTTAGTTGGTGGCTTGGTTTGTGAACGGATCCCTGTCTCTTGGGGGGAAATGGATTTCACCACCCAAGCCCCACCGGTCTCCACCGATTTATCTCCAAACCATTCTCAAAACCTGAATTTCGAATTGGATCCCCAAGTTGTTATTTCCGCTCCAGATTTTTCAGTATTTCCCAGATGGTTTCCCCTTGGCCCCCTGTTTTCCAAAGTCGTATGTTCCCAACGTTTTCGCACGGTTGTCTTCATATGGCTCCATGTTTTCTCCCATGTTGCCCCCAGGTTTGCTGCGTGTTCTGTCCACAGCTACCCCTTCTCTTTGAAGCTGATTCCTTCTCCCAGCATCTCTCTGATCGACAATAAAATACTTCGCTCCCAAAGTTGGACGGCTGGTCCTCCCGAGCTGACCTCCTATAACAACCCGGGCGCAGGGGAAGTCAAAAAGCGCTCTCACTGGATCTTAGGGGTCTTTTCTCTGACGCGCTAAGTAAATTTCAAAATGCAATCCCCCCCCAGATTTTTGAGGCTTCAACCAGCATCAAAAGAATGGCAAGGAAGGACATTTCGAACATGACACTCCTTAATTCATGGTGGCCTGCCTGAACCCCAGGGGGTAGATTGAGGGTGGCACTCCCAATTGCCTGCCTGGGCCCAGCAATGTTGTCCAACCCTTGCATTCCCCCCCCCCCAATTTTGGGGCAAGATGCCAAATTTCATGGGCATTTTGAGGGTTGGCACTTTTTAGGTGGCTATGATGCCCTGGGACTAAAAACGGTTGTATTTACCATGAAAGACCTGGTTCTTTCAACTAGACCAACTGAAGAAGAAACAAAAAAAACCCGGGATACATTTTGGGGCAGCCATCCGTTTGAGGCTGCCTGGACCCTCCAAAATCCAAGTTCAAAATAGGCGATTGCCCTAAAAGTCCGGTGGGTGACCTCCCTTTTCTTCGGGTCGTTTCTTCGGGTATTGGGGGCTTCTTTTGGCCCCACGAAACCCCGGCCCGAAGCGATCCCGTTCGTCGCGAAGCGCGCCTTCCTCGCGCGTCCAGTCCGAGAGCTTGGAGCCCTGCCTGAGCCTGGGGGAGGCTCCGATGGCCAGGGCCCGCAGATTCGTTTTCTTCCCGCGGCGGCAAAGGCCAACCTAGACTAGGTCCTCCAGATTTGAGAGGTTAGGGTTTAGGGTACCAACTTGTTTTCTGGTCTGTCTACTTTAGTATAGGGGAACCCTCCCCACAAAAAGAAACGGTAAAAGGGCACCTAGCTGTGGGACCTAGTTGCCAGAATTGTGGGTTATGGTTTATGGTAGGTGGAAGACCCTTTTCTTTTGGCCAACCTAAAATTTATGGGATGGGTGAGAAACCCCGTTTTTTGTTTTGTTTTTGTGTTGGTAGCTCTCGAGGGACCCGAATAGGGGGTTGTCAAGGGACCCGAATAGGGGCCACCACACCACCACAACTCCGCAGGTGGTGCGTCCGCCAGTTCGGATCTCCCGTTAAACAAAGGAAACAACAACAAAAAGCAGGAACTCCCCAACCATTACATATCCAATCCAGTTTTGGGACACATCCAATTGTTCATTTTCAGGGAGATGTCAGAATCAAAAAAAAAGTCGACCCGAAAAGCGCACCGAAATTGAGCTGGGTGAGTTGCTATGCTTTGTGGATGCCAGGAATCCCTTTCGCCACTCCAGTAGGTAGCCACATGTTTACTCGGTTGCTTTCTGCGCCCCTGCAAAAAGTTTTTCACTTTTAGTGGTTTAGTGGAAAACCCATTAGTTGGCAAAAAGTTAAAGTCCTAACAGCCAAGCAAAATGCACCAAAGTTTAAACACCACTCCCCCCCCAGTGACTAAGTATGGTCGGTCATGTTGACCCCGGCCGGATTAATAACCCCCTGCTTTTAGTGGGGATTTGTCAATTTTGGAGGGGAACGCCCCCATATTAATAAACAGGTTTTTTTTAAATCCGGGGTCAACATGAACCAGCCCTATTCCTTTCAGTTGTTTAAAGGGTTGTTCCCTTGTCTACCCTTTTTGTGGGGAATGGAATCTCTGGGACATACAAAGCAGAAATAGGGAATCCTTGGTTGAAGATTTTGTTTGCGTTAAATCGCGCGTTGAACCACCTGGATCGGCGAGTTTTGCCCAAAACATATCGTCAACAGGCCGTGGGGGACCGCCTTAAATGGACGCTAAGACCGCCCTTTTGGTTTCAATTCAAGCAACTTGGACCTTCCACTTGCCCATAAATTGGGACTTCACCAACCATAATTTTGATCAATTCCATTTGCTTAAGGCCCCAGGAGAAAAAAAAACAAAAACATAAACATATGTCCACAAGTGAGAAACTCCAATTCTAAACCCAACAGGGGAAAACCAATAAAATATTCCTTTCAGCAAATGGGAAGATAATCTTGGGTTGCCCCTCTTGGTGTGGCCTTGCAAAACAGACTCGCCGTTGTTTCTTCTTCTTCTTTTTTCTTCTTGTTTTCTTGTTTTTTCCGGCAGCCCAGTAAATATGAACCACTATCAGCAGTCAGTTCAGCCCAGATCACCACTTGGAGCGTCGGGTCCTGGCCCCGCCTCGAGAGCTTAAGAGATCAATCCGCGAGGCTCGGTTTTGGTCGAGTCAGCGAGCGGTCGAATCCATGACTCAGCCCCGGACAGGCTGCGTATCCTGTGGTAGCCTGCAACGCCCGCCCACGCCCAAAGAACAGAGACGTTCACCTCGCTGGCTTTCTGCTCTGCAGTGTTCCTGGACCCTCAAGCTACCCCACCAACCACAATTTTGAGCTGCACTCGCCCATTCTTGCTGTTTTCGTTTAGTCCAGGTCCTCGTTTCAGTTGAGGGATCAGCTTTCAGCCCGGCTCTTTCCTTTGAGGGTCCTGGAAGACCAAGGTTCGACTACCTGAACCCAAGAACAGACATCCCCTGCCTGAAAAATCGGGTTCTTTGGCGCCCCAACCTTCTGGTTGGTGAAAACCCAACTGTTCGGGTCGTTTCTGCGGGTCCAAGTGCGCCGCGAAGCCGCTGAGCCAGCCTGACCTTCTGGCCTTTGCTCCAAGCCCTGAAGCTCCAAACTCGACCTCTTCAGCCATTCCCAGCGCTTCCATTTACCCGTTGTAGGCTTTAAACATGGCTTCCCATCGCAACCCAATTATATATAGTTGGCGAATTTCTTTATTTCCTTTTTGTGGGTAGTGCTTTCGGGTCCAGGTAGCCCTGCTCCTTTGGTGGTCAAACAAAAGCGACCATTCAAACCCGTGCCGCGCCGGCTTTGGGGGGGTCCAAATCCACACAACAAAAAGGACAGGCCCAGGGTTTCGATCTAAAAGAACTCCAGAAGGTTCATGAGAATGGATGCTGATCCGACTTCCAAGGTGCGACTGGCCCCCAAAAAATGCCATCTGGATTCCTTTTGACATGGGACACGCCCTGTGAATCAACCATTTACCAACCAGAAAAGAAGACATATCAAGTAGGGGTCTTTACTATGATTCCTTTGATACAGTCGAATCACAACTATTTGCAACCACATCAATTGCGCCGAGCTATTCTATCTCTATACAGCCAGAGCGGCTCACGGTGACTCCCCATTTGCTATTCTCAACACTGGCTGTAAGCAAGCGCTAGGCGTCGAACTGTGATGTGGGCATCCAGCAAGCACTGCACAACTGCCTCATTGCCGGTAGCAGCGACATGCAACGGTGGCATCATCGTCTGGCTGCTCTTTGTCAGCTCCGGCATCCACCAAGCACTGCGCAAGGCGTTGCAGCAACATGCAACGGTGATCTGCCCATGTGGCGAACCTCTGACACTTGGCTCCCTGGTCTGCGCTTGGGTGATGGCAGCCATTGACTTTCGGTTGCCGGTCCTTTTGCCCAAGGCGGAAACAATTGGTCCGACCAAAGCGCCGGCCTCGGCTCAACAGCTCCGGCATCCAGCAAGCCCTGCGCAACTGCCTGATAGCACCGCACAGCAGCTATATGCAAGGGTGTGCAGCCATAATTGTCTGCCTTGTCTTTGTCAGCTCAAGCATCCAGCAAGCACTGCAGAACTGCTTGATGGCCTTGCATTGCAGCAAACTGCAACGGGGATCTGCCCACATTGTTTGCCTTCGCACCGGCATCCACCAAGCACCGCACAACTGTCCGATGGCCTTGCATTGCAGCAAGATGCAACGGGGATCTGCCCTCATTGTCTGCCTTGTCCTTGTCTGCGCCTGCATCCACCAAGCACTGCACAGCTGCCTGTTTGCCTAGCATTGCAGCAAGATGCAACGGGGATCTGCCCTCATTGTCTGCCCTGTCTTTGTCAGCACCGGCATCCATCAAGCACTGCACAATTGCCTGATGACCCAGAAATGCAGCAACATGCAATGGTGTGGTGCCCTCGTTGTTCGCCTTCTCCTTGTCAGCACCGGCATCCAGCAAGCACTCCACAACTTCCAGATGGCCTCCTGCAGAGGCATATAGCAAAGGAGTCGCATGGGTGTTTCTGCAAGCAGCATTGGGATCATGAGGCTTCTCCAACAGGTCTATCACTTCTTGTGTGTCACCTCTTTCCGCCGCTTGCAGCAAGTCCATGCACGTTGCCACGCCGTCTGCTTCATCTGAGGCTGCCTCAACATATTGCCGCTTAATTGCCGTCAGGCACTCAGCGTTCTCACACAGACTCTCTGGCTCCAGCATGCCGTGCTCACCAGCCAGCGTGAGCTGCCTGAAATTATGCAAAAGCATTCCTTAATGTTTAGGTCGGAAGAACTAATGACAGCACTGTTTAATGTGTTGCTGTTAGTTTATCTTTGAATACAAAACAACAAAAGAACAACCGGGTACCAATGGGCAACTGGGAATCTCTTGGCCAGGTGGCGGCGTAATGCGTCGCACAGACCAACACCATCTCCCCTTCTTCGCAACTCATCCCGCCACAGGGAATGCTCCGTCGTCGTCATCACATCCGTGCCATCTAGCAACCGAACACACGTCATGAGTGAACTGGACACGCAAATTCACTCGAACCGAATGCGTCTCACGCGCTGCACGTATGTCAGCATGCTTGCGTCAATATGGGTTACAACCAGGCGTGCAATTCTAAGGAACAAACAAGACACAAACTAAAACAAGTCTGTACGATTCTAGGCTTTCTGATATCTTTAAATATCACCCGTCACCTACAACACAGCTCTACAATTGGTTGGGATTTCTCAACAACTCCTCAAGTTAAACCAAGCATTTGCTTGAAATCAACCCATCTCCTATGTTTTCTCCTTGTGTTTTTCTTTCTCGCATTTCTGCCACAGCTGCCGCTCGATTAATCGCCAAAACGCTCGCCAAAACCTGGCGAATTCGGGGTTCTTAGGTGTTTGAAGTGAGTTGGTAACCTAAGCTGTCGCCCCGTTGGCCTCCATTTCAGATGGAGTTCACCCAGGGTTTTCTTACTCAGGTGTTGCTAACAGGGCGAAGCGAGCATCCAGAGACAGGTCGACAGCTTCGGATGGGCACTCCCCTGAGGGGTCGACTCGACCTTCCCTAGAAGGGTCCGCGGGTCTCCCCATTCATTTCAGGGAAACGGCCATGAATGTCAAAGTAAAAATGGGTTGTATCCCCAAAATTATGGAATGGGTGAATTGTCCAACTTTTCCGGGTGCTTAGAGGATCCAGGTGGATGTAAATCCAAACTGTGGGTCCAAAATGGGCACTCAAAATGGAACTTTACATGGCACCCAGGGGTCCATATCCTGGGGTCCATGTCCTGGTGGCTTAATTTTGACCCACACCCAAATGATGTCCAAAGGATCCTTTTCCGCCATCTCCCAACCTCCAAGCCCCTGCCTGACGGCCGCTTTGGACCCTGCGCAGGGCGCTCTCGTTTTCTTTCTGGTGGCAAGCTGGGTGGACAGGGAGGTGTTCTCCTCAGATGAGTGGATTTCCATGGGGAAAAAAGTAGCGGCATCCATGTTTTTGGTTGGTTGGGTTGAAGGGAATGGGAATCCTTCCCAAAAAAATGGTGGAAAAAAGGGCGGAAGGCAACAGAGTTAAACTTGTTTCATCCAGAGCAATCCACACATCACATGGTTTAACCACAGATTACACTACACCCAAAACCTCGTTCCTCCCCAAAAGCAACACATCCACACATCACATGCCTTGCAAGGGAATTTGTTAAATGCGCTGGTAAGTGTGATTTGTTGATCGGGCCTCATGTCGCAATAAATGTTGCTTGCTTGCGGATTTTTCAAAAATAACACCCTGATTTCTGGCCGTCGGATCAGGGTCTGTAAATGGGCTTGTGGGTCCCTGACCAAACTGGGTACCCCTACTCCTACCCTCTTTGCTTTTTTTGGTATGTTCTTGAACACCCGGTGGCTCCAAATGCCCCCTTGTTTTTGTTTCAGATTGGTATGTTTCAAAAGAACCCCATAAACTTTTCCAGGGTAAATACCGATCCCTTTCTAGTCAGGGGTTGACGTGATACCGTTCAAAAACAACGTCGACCGGTATATGGAGTAGGGGGGTGCTGAGGAACGAAAACTCACCCCTCGAATGGATCGTCCGCATGGTACAGGGAATGAGTTGGAAAGACCCCCGGAGAAAAAACACAAAAACAAACAAAAAGAAAGAAACACTCCCTATGGTTCCCTTCAAGAAATTGCGAGGCTCATTCCCAACATCATGGACCCCTAAAGGGGGGCTACGTGGCTAGGATAAGCCCGCCAAAGATAAGCCCTGAAGGCCTTATGAAGGGGATAATAAGGGATAGCCCCCCCTCCCCTTTCGACCATGGCGAGTTTCCCTCATTCGCTCCTTGAACACCAGCAATGTTTCCCTGGATAGCCCTGGTTTCAAGGTTTGAGGCCAGTTTAAGGCCTTTGCAACTAAGGCCTTAGACCTAGACACCTGAAACTCGGCGAAAACTCACCATGCAGTTTAAAACCAAGCTGAAAGGAGCCCTTTTGCTACCAGGTTTTCTGGACTGTCCTCCAGTAGAGAGGTTAGGGTTTAGGGTACCAACTTTTTCTGCAGTCTATTTTGGTAGGGGAACCCACCCCCCAAAAAAAAACGGTAAAAGGGCACCTAGCTGTCATGGCTCACTTGAAGTGGAGTCACATCTGGCTTTCCCCTCCTTTAAACATCTGACTACACGAGGCTGGATCCCTTGGGCCAAAAGGCGCCCTCGCAGCCCTGCTTTGTTTTCTTTCTCTCGCGAGAACCACCTGGACCCTCCAAATTGCCTGAATCCATCTACCAGGAGTCTCCATGACCCTTAAAAAATGGGGCCATTGCCCAAAACTAAGGGGTCATGACCCCTTTTTGTAGGGGGTCGGAAGGAGACTCCAGGTAGTTATTGCAACCCAAAAGCATTCCCAAAGGGTCATGACGGGACCCGGGACCCAATGCAACCCAAGGGACCCTCCAATGGAGAACTCCGATCAATTCCTCAGGGACCCTCCAATGGTGAACTCTCTTCAAGAACCCCAAAAACACTCCTGAGCCTTAGGGAGCCATCTTCCATTGGCTGAAAACTGCCCTCTGGGGCCTCAAGGCGCTTGGCTCTTTGCATCCTTAGGGCCTCCTTCCAAACCAAAACCTGCCGCCTCCCTCTTCGCTCCGCTTGCGGAGAAGTCTCCAGGGGGAAAAAACAACAAACAAACAAAAAAGGCATTTGTTCCAGTAGGTATGGATTCCCACTTTAAGACCAACAGGGGCAACAAAACATATATTCATTTCAGCAAATGGAAGAGAATCTTGGGTTGCCCACTCTTGATGTGGCCTTGCAAAACAAACTGGCCTTTTTTTTGGCAGGCCAGTAAATATGAACAGAACCCAAAAACTAGAGAGCAACTTGATAGAACAGTGAAGAAGTTGCAAAAAACCGGTTGTAAGTTGGTATTCGGAGGGAGGGAACTTAAGATCTGGCGCCCCCCGAGTCATATTCCTGTATGGTGGTTTTTGGGGTTCCATGGGAAACAATGCACCGGAGCCATCGGACACGGAGTCACAACCAACACTTTGGGTTGCTCTGTCCCAAGTAAATGGTCTATAGTCTTTGTAGACTTGCTTGCAAACGGTCTGAGGCGCGAAGGTCCAAAGTCCAAAAGACCAGCCATATGACCTCAAAATTCCAGCTTAAGAATGGGTTATACCACCCCAAAATTATGGAATGGGTGAACAGGTAGTTCTCTAGCGCGTCCAGGTAATGTTGACCCCGGAATAATAAACCCCTGTTTATTGTTTGGGGGTGTTGCCCTCCAAAAGTGATAAATCCCCACAAAAACCAGGGACACCCCCATATACATAAACAGGGGTTTCTCAGGGATCCTTACATTATACACCTGAACATTGCCTTGTACATGGTGGTTTCCCTGTATTTTGGTGAACAAAAAGCCATGTTTCAAATGGGCAAAACATATATTCTAAGGAGCCCTGCGACTTAATCCGTCAACATTACAAAGCTTCGGGCGGTTGGGACCCGCGCCCTTCTACTTCGCGCATCGCGGACGCGCGGACGCAGCCCATCGCCTTGCTGTCATCCGACCCGTTGCTGCGCTGCAGCACCACCTTGCGACGGAGGACTCCACAGTTCTTTTAGGGGTATCTCTGTCTCAGATGTTCAGTGGATTTCCATGGAAAAAAGGGCGTTCGTTTTTTGTTGTTGGTTGAGTCTAAAAGAGAACCCTTCCCCAAAAAAGGAAAAAAGGGCACCACTGGGCACCACTGGGCAACAGAGGTGTCAAGCCTCTACCAAAAGAACCACCTCCCATGGGTAAGCTTCGGGGCCTTGATTGTTTTGGGTCTCCTTCTTTCCCCCTCCCCGATAAATCGCGTCGAACAGACGCAATGCGCCACCGCAAAGGCAGAAGGGTAGTTTTAGGTCAAAAGGTCCGTGATACCTAGGAGGACGATCGGGGGACACCCCAATGATAATTTCCACCAAATAGGAAACATTACCCATGGTCATTTGCGGGCCAGGAATATTGAGCAACCGCCATGTCAACCCTGTACTAAATGCCAGCCTACTAGTCCCCTACCTCAAAATGCCAACCAACACAGTGGCCTGTTTTGGTATCCCCTTAAAATAGCGGTCCAGTTTAAACACCGTGCTTAGGTTGGTTTAAATGGATACCAAAAAGAGAAGCCGCCAAAAATAACGTTGACCCCGGATGAACGAAACCCGTCCTGTACGCACAATTTAGGTTGTACTGACCCATATTCAAGTTGGAATTATGAGGGTCCAGGTGCCTGGACTCTTCAACAAACTTTTAAAAGTGGACTCTTGCCCGCAAAAGTGCTTGGCCATAGGTGGCCTTTTTTAGGAAAGCCCTGGTAGGTAAACCAGGAATCGCCCTCTATTTTTCAACCAAATCAACCAAAAAGGACGCCTATGTGTTTGGCATGTGTCAGAGTCTTTTCAGGGTACTGAACAACTGGGGTCATTAAAGGATGCCTTCAAACATGGGGTCATAACCCAAAATCAAGGGGTCATGGACACACCAGGTCTTGTCATGTTGGAATTTTAAGGGCTCAGGAGGTTACATCGCCGAAACCCTGTTGATAACCCAATCTCAACTATAAAGTGGATTCTTAACTGGAGCTTGGCGAAAACCTAACACCAAACAAAAAGCTCGCGGCTCGCCGAAGCATCGCACATCGCTGCCCGCCTTGGAGCCGCTGCTGCCGCCGCTGGCACACGGCGCCACCGCCTCAAGGAGGTCAAAGGGAAACGTGTGCTGGACCCTCAAACTACCTAAAGAAAGAAAGGGCCTTTTAATCCAACCATGTTTCTTTGTTTTGAGAAAACGCAAAAAACTACTCCAACCATATGTTTGGGTGGAAACTCGCTAGTCTTTAAGGGCATTTTGAGGGTTCCAATCGCTTGTTTTCTAAAGTCAGAGCCAAATCGATCTCTCATTGGGGCCCTCAGGAACCGGAGTTTGAGACCCAAACCTCGGAGCTTCGGGTCCAATGCTTCGGGGTCATCGGGGGATTTTTCTTGGACCGAAGCCGATGGGAGGCTCGGGGCTCTGCCCAGCTCCAAGTCGAATGATTTCGGGCCTTCAAACAACCTGGTCTTGAGACGTCCCAACCGCTTGGCGGGGTGTGTAATGGAGGGCTCAGGTCCATTGAAAGCCGAAGCCAGGACTCTGTTGCTTTCTGCTCCCCTGCTAAAAGTTTAACTTTTAGTGGTTTAATGCGGAAAACCCAAATTCGTTGGCAAAAAGTTAAAGCCCTAACATCCCTTGGCAAAATGCACCAAAGAGGGGGTCGTGGGTGGACCAAAAAAAGGGACTTGGGACTTTGGGCCACCTCCGGTTCGCTTGGTACAAAGAACCACCCGGACTCCGGACCCATCTGCCAACCTGTGGACATGAGCGGCAACCCGTCGCGTTTTGAGCTGGCAAACTCTGGGTTTCCTGCGATACCGTTCCTTTTCTTATTAGCATCGCACCCTATCCATGCCCTGAAACAAGTGGGTATTGGGTGGTGACAGGGGTACACGTGGTCCAGGTAGCAAACCCAGGTCTTTTTGCAGGTCGCTAAAACCGGCCCGCCTCGCCATTCGGATGCTCGCTCTCCTGTGGGAGTCGACTCGCACACAGCGATTTGTGCTCCCTTCGAATGCAAGGGTTCAACCCCCATGAAAAGAAGGCTGACCAACCAAACTGCCCTCAGATCCCCTGCTAAAAGCTTAACTTTTAGTGGGCTTCACGGAAACTACCACTAAACACCAAAAAGCTAAAAGGCTGAGGAACCGGATGGCTGGGAGCCACCAAGCAAATTGGATGATGCTATATGATGCTTAGGGAAACCACGCTTGTGGAGCCCAAGCATTGCTTTACTGGCCGGCAACTGAACCCCACAGGATACAGCTGCACACTTTGCCCCAATCCAACGAGCGGCAACATCCCAAGGTCCACCTGCCATTCCGAAAGCCCGGTGCGACCTCTAGGCTCCTTTTCTGATGCCAGGGGCATGAAATGAACATTGGATCCCTAAATATAAACATTGGGTGGCTGATCAAAAGGTCCTTTATATGGGATGACCATTTGTTTTTGAAAGCCACTACAAAAATGACATTTCCCACTATATGGTACCCATGGTCATTATGGAGATTCCCCTGTAATTCCATGGTGTAGGATTTCGTCCATCCGCAGCAGCTTTCGCTCGTACCCTCGACTCGGGTGCCCTCGTTCTCAAAAACGGAATCGGCACCTTCTACCGGGCCAATTTGGGTCTACGAAAAAATCGGGGACCCCAAAATGGCTTGGGGTTTCCCTTTGGTTTCCCTTTGAACCAGCGCAAAGAACACACACCCTAGGCATCAGCGTTGGACCCTCCATTGCAAGGTTTTGGACCTCAAAAAGTGGCTCCTTGAGAGCCAATGCTGCAACACAATGGCCAACAAATACTTAGAATGCCCCCTCCTCTTTCGTGGAAAAACTTTAAAGCAATTCTATTTTCATGATCCGAGGGGCTCTAGGTCCTCCAGTAGAGAGGTTAGAATAAGGGTACCCGAGTTTTTTTCTGTAGTCTATTTTAGTAGGGGAACCCTCCCCCAAAAAGAAACGGTAAAATGGCACTACTGGGGGACGTAGGCTAAATACTGTTACTTTCAGCATCAGAAAACCGCACCCTCCGTTGGACGGCTCAAGGTGGACATCCGCACTCCTCCGGGATCTCTTTAAAGCTGATGGCGGTCTCAAAGCCTGCCGTGACCGCCGTGGGCTTTTCCGGTTTTCCGGTTTCCCCGTGAGAACGGACCCGGAACACGACGGAACACACCAAGGGCTGTGGGACTTTTGAAGGAACTGAAAGCCAGGGTTCACTGCTACAACCATCCAAACATGAAGTTGAACATCTTATAGTAAAAACAACAGCATTCAGAAACGGTACTCGCAAATATGAATCTGGCATTCCAGCATGTGCATCGTTATTTTTCCGTGAAGTTCTCAAATCGAAAATGTCTGGAATGCCTGGTGAGTATAAGAGGCCAACCCAGTAAACATGATCCTGGCGCCCACCCGCCCCACGCAAAAACAACAACAACAAACAAACACAATTGGCCGGCATCGGTTATCCTTTTGGTTTCCCTTTACAGCTAAACAATTCAAGGGGTACCAGCTCAAAAAAAGAGCAAAAACAAGCCATACGTGGCAACCCTGTGAAGGACAGGTGACCTTTTTGCTGGGTTTCCCTAGCAATGGAACAGAACCAATCGGTCAGTTACGAACTTCATCCGTGCAAAGGGACGCCATCTCACCTCCTTCCAGGACTCAGGATCCGCAGAACTCGAAGACTAAGCGCCACCTTGTGAGGGAAGGATCCGCAGAAGTCTGGGCCAGCTTTTTGGCGGGGGAAGCATGGGAAGCTGAAAAGGCCGGATCCGGTCGTGACTAGCGAGGCAAAAGCTTCCGATCCGCCACCTCACCAAAATCTTGCAAGCAACCACCTCACACCTCACATCGACGGCAGTGATCCGGTTTTCCGGCCCCTCAAGAGGCACGGCGTATCTTGGGCGAACTGCAGTTTTGGGATTGCGGAAAGCTATGCACCATGTCTGGTCACATAGTTCAGACATAGGGCGGCAGCGCCGTGATCGGCTCTCATCAGCTTGAAGATCTCTCTGCTCTCTCTCATTTTAGCTTCTTCCGTGCGGGGGTAGTTCCTGCTGTGTTGAGGGACTGCCTCGAGAAGCCTCCAGGTTCACTCGAGAGGCCCAACTATTTCCCCCCCTTCCCGGACACTCAACGTTTTTTTTGTTAGAGAGGGAAAAGCCCAATCTTTCTGGTGTGAATGGGTAGTTTGAGGGTCCTGGCAGGCGGTCCAGGCGCCAGTTTTAAACTTTCACAAGCCCCTGCAGAACCGACAAAGAGCCAGTGCCTGCCAAAGAAACAACTCGGCCTGTAGAGGGAACCACTGGGTAGTAGTTTGACCCTCTTAGCTTGAACAAAAAACAGGCACCCTGAAAACGAAAAGCCAAACACAATCTGTTTGACGTGCCGTTTGGGATTTGATCATTGCTTGGCAATGCGTGGCCTAGAATCAAGGGCATTTTTGGGTACGAATGCTTCTGTACCAAACCTCCATACCTCCCTGAAACTGAAACCAAGTTGCCTAGAAGCTGTCTTCAAAATGGGCTTCGAAAAGCCGACCACCCGTCCAAAATGGCTTTTGGGAAATTTCGACTGGTCACTTTGGGCTGCAATCAGAACAACCCCCTGCCTAAGGGAAAAACACAACCACCAAGCCTGGTGGAAAAATGCTTTGTCCATTAACGAAAAACTGTTTGACCTCCCCATTCCGAAAGCCCTTCCGATTCTTCCATTTGCTTAGGCCCCCCTGGAAATAGACAATATGTGCAGTAGTGATATATATAGATTCCCTTTAGCAACATAGGACATATTCATTTCAGCAAATGCCAGGAGTCCTGTGGATTCCAACGAATCCCACCTGATCAAGCCTATGCTCAGACACCCAACCCCCCAACCCCGCCCAAGGACAGGCGACTCCAAACCGCTTGGCGACTAAACCCTCATCCCACCTGATAGTGCCCCTAACCCACCCAAACAAAGGAATCCCAACTCGGGAAAAGACACAAGAACCCTGCCAACCAAACCAACCACCCCTCCCCCCCACAAAAAAAAGGAAGAAGGAAAAAAGGAGAAGAAAAACAAACAGAAAGAGCAACGGCAGATCTTTGTTTTTTTGCTTGTGTCTATACATATATCTATATATATATATATCTGTATATATATATATATGTCTACATATTTGTTTTTTTGTTACGCTCCACCTGCAGACTCCACTTTTTCCCCCTCCCCCCCGCCTAGCGCGGAGCTGGGGGACCGCTCCCTGCGGCGTTGCGACCCGGAGCTCACGTCCATCAGCGCGGCACCCGGGGAGCTGGGCTCCCGCTGTGCCAGCGCGGCTTGCCTCGGGGGAGTGGTGGGGGGGGGGGGAGGGAGGGGTTGAAAAAACGCACCGCGGCTGCGGCTTTCCCTTTTTGAAAGAAGGGGGGGGGTTCGAAAAAACGCACCGCGGTTTAAGAAGGAAACATGGGGGGGGGGAATTCTTCTCACCCACCAGAGTTGGTTGATAAAAAAGAAGATGGGGGATATGTTCACCCATCAACCGGAGTTGTGTTTTTTGAGGCACTGGTCCGTTGTAAAGGCAGTTTTTAAAGGGTCAGGAGCTGGCTGACTTGGCTACACTTTCCTGCCTGGACCCTCAAAACTCCAACTCAAGCAGGGGCCATTGCAATCCAAAATTACGGGATGAATTCCAACTTGTTTTATTCCGAGTCTGGGGAATTCCACGGGGCCAACACTTGATCCTTTAAGGGCACGCAAGGGCGCGCAAAGGTAAGCCTGTGAAGTGCTTGCCCTACCCGAAACTCCGTGGATTTCAACCCTATTTGGGAAAGTCCTGCCCTCTTCAATGGAGGGTTCAGTGTTGAACCAAAGGCTTCCCTGCGCTTATTTTGGCGCCTGCTTGCGGGTCATTGCCTGGCCGAAGACCCACCCTAGTTGTACAAGGGCCCTAAAAAACTATATTACCCCATAAAACAGGGAATGCACCAACCATTTTTTCACTTCAATACCCCATGTTTAAGTGAAGCTTGAGGCTGCAGGCAACCCGGTGAGAAAGGGCAACATCCCCCCACTTTATGACTGTGATACACACCAGAAGCAGCCAGAATAATGGGCAGCGCTTCCCCCTTGAGCAAAACGGTCTAACCTTTTCAAGGTTTCATGGACGAGCAACTTGTTTCCAAAAGGGCCAAAAGGGAATGATTTGGCCGCATCGCGAAAGACCAGCCACGCTAAGCCCCCCCACCCCCCTACCCAAACGCTCCCTGCGAAAAGAATTGATATTTGAGGTCCCTGGTTGGTGTCCTATTCAAAGGGCTCGAAAGAAGATCCCCCCATCGAAGGGTCCTTTTGCTGAGGGTGTGGGCAGGCTATGTTGGATCAAGCCCGAACTCCAAGGATGGGAATATTTCCTGGGGCCCCAAACGATGTTAGTCCCAGACGCTCAGCGCTTAAGGACCCTTCGAACGGGAGGGTCGCCAGTTGACCCCTCTGAATGGGGCACCCAAACACCCTGAAAAAATCGAAGGCCCAAAAATTAGTTGGGAGCAGTTGGGAACTCAAAAACGGATGTTGCCTCCAAATTATGTTGGGATACTTTCATTTTTCATGTAGTTTGAGGGTTCAGGTGGATGTTACTCCCAGATTCCATTTGCGAAGGTGTCCGTGTATTTCCCCTTGGGGTGCATTTCAACGTCACCTTTCGGTACTGCCCTCATTGGCCCTCCATTTGAGGAAAAGCGACCTCCAAGTTGGCAGCCCGGCAACCCCTCAATGGCCAATTCCGAATGGAGACCCTTAAGAACAACCCTTTTCGAGGACCGAACCACTGTGAAATCGGACCCTTGGTGCAGGGCGTGAGTAAACTGGTAAAGAAACGACATGGATGTCCGGTAGTGATAGACTCCCTTTAAAACCAAGAGGGGTCAGCCTGGAGTGAGAAACCCCTCCCTTGCGGAAGACTGTCATTCCAACTCATATCGAGGTCGCATCGAGAGGAGCCGCAGCTTGAAATCCTCCACGCTTTGCCTGAGAGGCTCAAACAACAAGTGCTGGTGATTCCGTGAGCTTGTCCCCAAGGAAAAAAACAAAAACATGCCCCACAAAAAGACGCTGCGGGAAACCCAAAAGAGACCTGTGATTATCATCTTCCTTTTCTTTGAGTTGTGGTGGATTGCGTTGCAAACCTTTGCGGTGATGTAAAGGCCGGTCATGGAGCTTGACAGGTCTTTGGAGAATGGTCCAAAGGGGCCATGTGTAACCGCTATATACTTGTGAAGCGGTGGGGTGAATACCTGACATGTGGGTTATAAATTTTAGCTAGGGACCCTTTGGTGGACATCATTTAGGGACTCATGTCCAGTCACTTTGGAGGTGGTTCAGCCCACTAAAACAAAAAGAACAAATAACCATTGACATGTTACGAAAAGGGCCTTTTTGAGGGGCCAAAGTGCCTCCGGCAGCTTTGTCCCCATGTCAAATCACACCAGCAGACCCGGGGCAAGGGCTTACAGAAGCCCGAAATGCACCCCCTACTCCACATACCTGGTTTTAGTGAATGGTATTTTTTGGAACATCAATCGGTTTTCCAGGGTAAACACCTCCTTTGTGTTGTCAAACATAAACTATCATTATACCCTATCACACCCTGAAATCAGTGGGTAGTGGATGTAGGGGGTAGTTGGTGGCTTGGTCTTCTAGTTTGGACCTTAGAAAACGAAAGGTCCAAATCCCCAAAACACAAATTGAGGGGTAGCTGAAAAGAAGTCGGACTTTTCTTAGCCAATCCAGTGTGGGTCTTTGCCCTATCAGATTTCGGACCGGGGTTTGAGGGACCTCCCTTGGTTGTGGTTTTTGCCTGATTACACGGATGCCTTTTGGAGGGCCGGTGACCAATGCTTAGGTTAAAGTTGCATTACGTTGAGGTTCACTACGCAAATCAAACTGCATGATGCTTGGTTGGGCGAAAGGTTTTCAAACATGGTGCGTGAGGGGTCGGCCTTTTTGTTTCACTTCCACATGTTGGAGACTTGATACTTCTTGGGAAGATGTTGGTAAACAAGGATAAGGACGTTGTGGAAGGGTTGCACAAGCAAGAAAGCAGGCAGAGCAAGCCTGTCTTGCACCCACCAAGAGGATTGCGCAACTGTCGCAGTGGTTAAAAAGTGCTGATTTCGCCTTTTCACCGCTTGGGCAGCTCCCAAGGAATGCGGAGGCCACACTCGGACTTTCTTCAGAGACGTGTTTGCCAGACTCGGTTCGGGTGGATTTTGAGGGGTTCGACTTTGAGCACCCCCCATACTTCCGACACCCTCTTTTTGGTTTGGTATTCTTGTGGTAAACTCCTCCTTTTTCTCAGTTGTTCAGTGACCCTGGAAAAAGGGACTCCTTTTTGGGGCTTGGACCATTTTTAGTTTTTGGGGCAGCCACCAAAAAAAAGGTGGACAAAGCTTCCGACACCCTTCTTTTTGGTTTGGTATTCTTGTGCAAAACCCCGGGCTTTCCTTTTGGTAAACTCCTCCTTTTTGGTAGAGGCTTGACATCTTAACTAAAAATAGGTGGGCTCCGCATGGCATGGTGGCGAAAAAGAAACAGCATGTTTTTGGCAGCCCTCAGCACAAATGAACAAACAGAACCATGATTAGAGTTAGGCAACCAGTTGTAGAATGTATACTTTATTGTTTGCTTCAATTTGAGTCACTGGTAAAGTGTGAAGTGTATCCTAAGTCTACCCCCAACTACTAGGTCCTCCAGTAGAGAAATTAGAACAAGGGTACCCTTTTTTTCTGTAGTCTACTTTAGTAGGGAACCCTCCCCCAAAAAAGTTGGTAAAAGGCCACTCTGGGGGACCTAGACTAAAACACCCCCAGAACCGATTTCCTTTCCCTTTATCCTAAGTCTACCCCAGAAACATAACATCGGTGAGCTATCGTGAAAGAGACCTCGCATGGAGAGCTCGCATAGGTCTCCGGGCATCGCTGCATCGATGCTGCCGCTCAACTCGGACACCACGCGCGCTCCTCGCCGCTCACAGCCCAGGAACCACCCCCCTGACCCCCTGAAGGCTCCAGATGGCGATCGCTTTCTTTCCATCCACTCCAAACCCCAAAAACCGATCGCAACAGTGACTGAAAAAACAAACACGATCGCAACTTGGCTATCCAGGCAAGCTCTCCCGAACCGCAACCCCTGCCAAACACATCGGGCGAATCCTGGCCCGCCGCCTTGTGGAATCAACGATTTTTGGGTAGCTTGCACAGACATCTTTGGTAAACTTCCGATCCCAAGAAGATCGACTGTTGCCTATCAGAATGTTGAATCCTGCAAAACTTCCATTTGCTGAGAAGTCCCCTGGAAAAGAACCCCAACAACATAGCATACTTCCAGTATAGTGATACATGGAACAAATATAACATACTCATTTCAGCAAATGGAAGGAACAAATCGCTCACTTCCGGGCACTGAAGTGAGGTGGCAACACGAGTCGCCTTTCGTTTGGTGCTCCGAGCACGGTGAGGTTGGCCCTATGGGTCTCTGCCACAAAGTCGTCGCCCATCTGAAAATTGGGGACCCCTCGAATTTGTGATTTCTTTCCTTGTAGTTTCCCTTTCAACAACCCACCCAAAAAAAGCAACTAAACAATTTTCTTGCTTCGCCTCCCTTAAAATCCCAACCAGCAAGATCCCACAAGAACGCCTTCCTAACTAAAACAAGACTGGGCTGGGCAGGGCTCCCGCCGGCTCTTGAGTTCTTGTTTGCCCAGGACCTGTTGACCCGGCGCCATTTTTTCATGGGGCTTAGGGCAGGGAATTCGCCAACCCTAAGTTTGTGGCAATCGTCCCCTTTTTAGGGTTCAACCACCCATTTTGAGGGTCCAGCGGGTCCAAGCTGACTATCAGGAAGGGACACCAACCACAGTTTTGGGCACTCATCCATGTTCATGTTGAAGGTCCCAGTGCCCTTAGACATGGATTGGGACCTTCAGGTTTTGTGAATTTTCCCGAACGTTTCTGTGGCGAGTTTCAGAGGGTCCAGGTTTAATTAGCCATCTTTCCATCACGCGAGCGCGCAATAGCAACCAATCCCCTGTATTTATGGCTAGTTTGAGGGTCCAAATCGCTATACATCTTTCTTTAAAGAAAAAAGACAAATGGACTCCAGTGAGTTTGAACCCATCCCGAGTGGCTCTGTGTCCTTGGGAGGCATGCACGTGGCCCGCGAAATCTGGACCTCAGCCCACCAATTCGGCGCTGACAAAGGGCGATCCGAACCTATAAAGAGCACTACTGGGGGACCTAGTCAAACTCTCTGTGGGGATTTCACCAGCCGTACTTCAGTCTTGAGTTCGAAGGCTCTTGTTGGGCTAAACCATTCTTGGCGCCGAGTGGAGGTGCAGACGTAGCCCCGACGGGACCTCCGGCTGGGCTTGCCTGCTCAGAAATAACATGCTAGCCTGGTACCAATCAACAGCCGGAACCTGGTCCCTTTAAAAGGAAAGTGGAACCTCCCATCAGGTTCCATTTTCATTGGGAGGGTAAGCTTCTGGAACGCTCACTACTGACTATGGACCACATCGAGGAAACCAACAGGTTATTTCAGGTCGATTCGCTTTGGGCAAGTGGGAGGGTGCTGTCCCCCCCCCCAACAACCACTCAAATGAATCGGGGTTAACATTGAATGTGAGGGGCAACATAACATCCGCAGACCTCAAATCACGCCATCCGCCACTCCAGGGCTACAAAGTCATGTCGGCGAAAAATTTGTTCGCTTGCCCTACATCTGAGAACCTCGAGGCTTTCCAAAGGGTTCATTGTCTATGGGAGCTTTCTTTTGGTTTCCCTTTAGCCAGCCTGAAAAGGGTACCCGCTCCAAAACCACACGCCCATGCAGTTAAATTGTGACATGAAGACTTTCTGTCACTTCACTTCCTGGGAGAATCCCAGACTTCTGCCCACCATCCACATGGCCAACTCATTTGCTGTCATATCACTCGTCACTCATGGCAGAATTGGATGGTGGGCATCTGCGTGGCCCTTGCCTCCATTCAGTCCATCGGCGGGAATAACCATGTGTCCAGTGGTAGATGCCCCTTAAAACCAACAGGGTAAATGAAGCAAATTGCCAAACATCTCACTTTGCAGGAACTAGCAGAAAATCCGAACTTTCTTGTTCACCACGGAAATGGTCCAGACCCGAAAAACCCTCTAGCAAAACCCTCGAACAAAAAACCCTTATAGAAGACCAGCAGAGAAACCTTCCAGGTCCTCCAGTAGAGGGGTTAGAATAAGCCTTGACCACCTCTACACAACCCCGGCAGGGCGCCCAGTAGCACCACCAGCCGCTTCGAGTGGAAGCTCAAAGACTTCCGCGACTGCCTGGCGCATCGGGTATCGCATGCCCGGATGCCCGGGACGTATCTAGGTGAAGTTTCCCTGACCCTTGAAAAACGGGGTCATCACCCAAAATCATGGGGTCATTGACCCATTCTTAAAGGGGCATGCAGACTCCCGGTGTGTGAATTATAATATTTCACCAACCTGAAATAAGGAACCCTGGTGAAAATCGGGCAACCCCAACATGGGTTGCCCTGGTAAATTGAACCAAGGACTAAAACCAATGTGGTCCCCTAGTGGTTTAACTTTGACCCATACCCATCTCACCAGCCTGGAATAAGGTGGTTGGGGGGCTATTCCCCACATATTTCCCACCATTTGAGGTGAATTCGGTCGCGTGAGGTCGTTAGAATTCACCCAGACGTATCAGAACCTACTGTGGGGGATTAACTTGCTGGTTCTCAGCGAATGAGGGAAGTGATTTTCAGGAATTGGCTTAAAGGAACCACCAGTTGGATTGCTTACACGAGGTGGTTTCCTTTAAGGGGACCAATTCCTGGGTTCAATCCCTCATTCGTCCTTATGGCACACACCCATACCCCCGCAAGCCCCAAATACCAGCGTCCAGGGGGGGGAGGTGCCACTTGCTTGGACCCTCACCCTACCCATAACACAGGACTTCACCCCGTATTTTGGGGCAATAACTCCTTTTTTTTGGGGTTGGAATTCTGAGGGTCCACCTACTTGCCCAAAGGCCCCAAACATAAAGGTGGACCTTCTGGAGCCCTGACGAATGCACCAACTCGGAGACCAAAAAACAACCACGCCCATACAGAACTCTGGTAGCTCCGTATTTGGATACCCCCAGCTCCTTGGCCCAACACCAACCCGAGCGAGCTTACCACGTTTCAACTGCCAAAATCATTTCACCTTAAGCATTGGTTGCAACCCAAAACTCCGGTTGATCTTCCCTTTTTTGAAACCTGGACCCTTGAACATGGGCACCTTCACCGCATTTTTTGGGGGGTTGCACTTCACCCAGTTTTTAAAGGATGGATTCTTGAGGGCGGGGAAAAGGGAACAACCGAGCCCCTTCGTTTTCAGGATGCCCCCCCGAAGAAAAAGAGTCCGGATGGTTATCATGCAAAATGGGTCCCCTTGGCCATTCTTTGAAGACGTGCGTTTGGGAACCCTCAAATTAGGGCGGGTTAGTGGCTTCCCTTTCAGGAATCAGGGCTCCCGAATTATTTTCCCCTCAAAACACCACCTGCAAGGGAAGCAACAAAAGGACATAGCTTCAAAGCCGCCAAACAGGTGAAATCTAGGAATCGACCCCTAAAATCCTAAAAAGCCTCTGAAAAAGGACTCGACCCCAGAAAAAAGAAAAACCCAACACTCCGTTTTGCGCCTTTCTGCCCAGACCCAACACGACGTTTTGCGCCGAGGTCGAGCCGATCGCGACCAAATTGGCGAGACCCGGCCTCAGCGTCTCCGTCACGGCGGAGATGACGCCGGCGGCCTCCGTTGGGCTCCACGTGTCGGGGATCGGCCGGTCCTCCAGAGATTCGACAGGGCTGCCTTTTTCCTTTTTGGGGCTTATCGATTTGAGCAGGGGAACCCAAAAACCCAAAACAGTTCAGTAGAATCCCACTTGGCGAGCACCCACTTGAGGCTGAAAAAAGTGAAGCAAGAATCACTCAGACGTACGTCAGTCCTCTTGCCGCGGACAGGCCTGAAGCCAGGTCAGGATGTCAGCCCCCGGAGATAAGCGCCTTTTGGATTCCCAAGACCACCCTTAGATACCGCCTGGGTAGCCAAGTTGCGATCGCTTTTTCCAGTCACTGGTGCTGGTTTTGAGGTAAAGTGGATGGAGAAAAGCAGCAACTGGCGATCCAGGCCTTAGCCTACGGGGGTTCCGGGTTGCAATAGCTTTTGGATCCTCAAAAAGAGGGGCCCCAAATTGGGTCCGCGCCCCCCTCCCCCCCAAAAAGAAAGAAGGAAACACAAACACAACAACACTGCAATTCCCGACAAAAAGCACGCGAGCGTTCCTTTGGCCTTTGGGACATTCCCAGAGTCAAGATCTGGTGAAGTGGTTTGCAAGCCAAGCAAACAATCCGAACGGCGGATGTCACCCATTCCTATCACTGTGGTCCGTCCTTAGCCTGTAATTTGCCCGGGTTTTGAGCGTGGCGCAGCAACCGCGACTAAAACATCACCTCTTTCAGAGTTCCTAGGTGACACCCCTGCTCCAAACGCCCGCTGTTTTCAGGTCATGATGTAAAAAGCAAGGTATATGCCATGGCAAACCAGGTTATTCAAACGGCACCGCAGAAACAGAGGGTAACTGGAGCACGTAGGGGTCATACCCCAGCAAAGAGAGGCTTCGGCGCGCGCTGAAGGCCCGCAGACCTGAATCAACCAGATATGCTCCAGAAACAAACCCGCCTTGATAGCCGAGTTGCTTTTTTGTGTTTTTGCTTTTTCCAGTCATTGTTGCGATCGGTTTTTGAGGTTTTGAAAAGTGGATGGAAAAAAGCGATCGCAACTGGCGATCCAGGCAGGTCGTGACCATGATGCATCATCGAGGGGGGCTTAAGAAGCAGGGCCATACTTATAGTTCCAGGACCAATTCTCAGATGCCTAGTGGATTTCCCATGGGCCAAGAAGACTCGGCATCCTGTTTATTTGGGCAGAAAGGAATCGGAACCCCTCCCCCCGGAAAAAAAAAAAAGAAAAAAAGGGGCTTCCACTGGGCAGAGCACTGGGATATCTCAGGTCCCCAAGCTTTGGGACCCGGGGCCCGGGACGGCAGGGGCCCATGGAGAACGCGCGGTTCCACCAATTCCGCTTTGGGGCCCTCAAAGCCAATCGAAATGGAGGATTGGCCCGAAATAAATCAATAGATCCTTATGGTGGCAGGGTGGCGGCCAATTCCGAGTTGGGGCCCGAAACCGAAAGAAAACTCGTTTTGAGAACCCCAAAACAGCAGAACGGACCCGGGGTATTGGATTTTCTATCTCGATCCAGCCCTGCACCCGGCGAAGCCAATCCGCCCCACGCCGCCCGTTCCTCGATCGCCTGTACGACTGCGTCGTTGTCCACCGCAAGCCTGGTCGGGCAATGGACGCAAGGGGTGTTTGATGTGGCAGCAAGGCCCCCCCGCGGTGTCGTTTTTGGTTGGCTCTCTGGAAAACCGTGTGGATTCTCCTCGTTTCCATTTTTTTTTACCGATCGGTTTTTCAGGGTAGGTCTTCGTGGAGGGTTGATGTGATACCCTTGAAAGGTGGGTATAGAGATACAGTTTGGGGCTAAAACCCATTTTCGAAAGGAATTGGGAGGCCAGAATTTGCCAACCATCGGGTTGCAATATCCACATTGTAAGTAATTTGGAGGGTGAATGGGGCCGGGCCCCCTCATGCCCTAAACCAAAGGGCATGTGCATTTGGAGTTCTCCCTGAAAAACCGTATTTGGACCTGACGGGTAGTTTGCGGCTGAGGCGTTTGGCTTTGTTGAAACCAACCACTTGCACGGCCGACCGTCGGCCTGTGGGCGGAGGCAGCGACCCTTCGCGAGGGCAGCGCGGCAGCGCCGCCTGAGATGCGGAGTTCGGTCCGCGGAGGGGCGGTTAGCAGTCAGCCACATATGGCCATGGGTCAAAACCCAAATCGTCAACCCCAGTGAACATCCCAATCCCCACCTAAATTAGGTCCAAAAATGGGTGGTGAATTCACCTACCAACCAAAATGGGATCCCATTGGTTTTGACTCACAGCCATGACCTGGACTGTGAACCCTAGCCACCTGGAAATCGATCCAGTGGCGTTAACATTGGAAGGTCTTGGACCTGAAATTCAGGGCCCCTAGCT